CCTCAGCAGGAAAGTGGGTAAAATTCCCTCTAGGATGCACAATATAATGTGATTCAATTCAATAGCCAAACTTTATCAATTTATAGTGGCCAATAACTATTAATGCAACAAAAACCGTTCGAAATTGGCAAGTCTCTACAACAATCAGACTCCGATCATGTCCTGCAAAAAAAACAATGATTTCCCTCGAACGCCTACAAACAGGCGGTAACGTTCAATTGTATAAATCGCATACATTTCTTTGTTCGTGCATACAAAGTAGTTATTAAATATGCGAATGACCCATTGTTGGATGTTGAAAACAAAAAAAATGCTTTGTTACCTACCCCTGGTCGTACACGGGGAGAAGCCCGCTTTGTCTGGATCATAGGTGTTTCAATGAGATTCACTGATTCATTCATCGCTTTACCAGCTCCGACGTCCTCTTTGACCAAGAGTTCAACTGAAAAAGCTGTTTTGTTGGTGAGTTCGTCCCCCGGTTGACGATCCGAGAGTACACGACCTTCCGAGTGTCGCAAAAGCCGAGAGTCCGATTTGGAAATAGTTAACGACTTGGCCGAAGATGCTGTAGAAAGGGCTGTTGTTGAGACGAGAGTTAAAGTGGAGTCCGACAGAGAACACAAAGGCCATGTCTGAAGTTGTCCTAAGGGACTACTGTCTATTGACCTAGCGCGAGAGTGCGGGACCATTACCATTAATGGCTTTGATTCAGCTATCCCACGTTGTTGTTCATCCTTGAAAATAACCGACGGACTAATAGTGCTGCTGTCAAAAGGCTGAGCTTCAGCCAGGCCTTGTAAAGTAAGGACTGAAGAGCCGCGCGTTGGAGACAGTGAGAATTGGTTCTCATCCGCATTGCAATTATCAGTGGGCCAGAAGGCAGATAGACGAGTTTCCGAGCACATGGGAGCTTGAATTGAAAGGGAAGTCTTGAATTCTGAGCTTTTAATATTATTATCAGCGCTGAAAGATGCAAAGTTGGTATCAGATGTGGATGTGCCGGTGCTGGAGGGGCCAGACCCAGGTAAGTGAAGAAAAGAATCAGAAACAAATGAGGTAATATGAGCAGGACTCAGGGATGTACCAGAACGGGAAAATGTAGTCCGGAGGGGGCAAAGAGAAAAATCGAGGTGATCGGGAGTATAGTTGATGGTGGTAGAGATTGTAGTGCTGGCTGCGTAGACACCAGTAGCTGAAACCACAGGTACTGAAGCTCCGAAATGCTACATGGGACGGCAGATGGGATAGGAATCAGAGAAAGGTAACGGCAGAATGCTGAGGGATAAAAAGAAACGAAATCGCATCTGATAATAAAAACTGTGGATAAGCCAGGGAGGTAGGCCGTGAATTATGACATGCCAAACGATGAGATGAATTAGGTCTTAAGAGATAGTGGAAAGTCGAAGCATCAAACAACTCATGATGTAAGTAATCGGTAGGTCCTGATGATTAATAGTATAGGTTTAAAACTAGCAAGATGCTTGTATCAAAACTCGTTGAAGTGAAGAGGTAAGAAATCTGCAATGGCTCAATCTAAGTAATTTGTAGCGACATCTAAATAAATTGACTAGAGACAGAAAATCCCTGGCAGAAATATTCCTTTTCGACCCAGATGTAGGTCTAGGTAACCGGTCATAACCTTGATTCCATTCATTTAAGGATTGGGCTTCTCATTTTGTATAAAAATTAGAGCTAGTCACGTCTGCACGCATGTAGTAACCAACCAAATAATGGGACGCCCAGGCATCAAATATAGTCTATAAAAAGTAGGTATGATAGCACCTAGTTATCATTCCTGGCTTAGTTTTGATTAATAATGATTTATGGCATCCAAACTATTTATCACAAGATAGAATAAATCATAACAAGTATTCTTCAGGATCGCAAGGCGGCGTGCCAAAAGCTTGTATGGATTAATCAAATCAAAACTCCGAGGCAATCTTCCTTCAGTTTCCATTTTGGTTAACTTACAAAGAAATATGAGGTCCATTTGCATAAATCTTCAAGAAGGCCCCAGTGTTAGGTCATTTTCCATTTCAACATTGTTTATAAGAGGCAGATGCAATGCCTTCCATGATTTGGCTATTTCTGGTCAGCAATTTCCAACGAGATCTCAGGAGTCTATGCATACTGCAGATACGGCTTAAAAATAAGTCAGTCACTCAGCATTATTTTTACATCCAAAAAGACTAACAAGAATACCTATTTTACAAGCGGTTAATCGACAAAAGTAATAATGGCAATGAAATTGTGAAGCCGAAAGCGCTGGTGGAGGATATTATTGAAAATATTCACTTATGTGCAGGAAGGATATTTTTATTGCTAAAGCAATCCTCTTCTAGGATTCAGTGACAAAAACATCCAATCCGACTTGAGCATATATTCAGTAAAATATTTTTTTTGAACTAGATTTTTGAAGCTACCAGTAGATCATATGATATGTATAAACCCTATTTCGTTTAAGGTTCCCACAATGGTATGAATGGGCCCTACGCTTCCATTGAATTTCCCATAGCCTTGCATCCCAAAATGTACTCTTCTACAGGCTAGACTGCAGTTTCGGCCTCGCCTAGGCCTCATTAGTACCCCCAGCTGGACTCAAACCCTGGTAGTGAAGCGTATAATCTGGACACTTTAATCACTATGCTAAATTGTCACGAGTGCCCTTGGGTAATTTCAAAGAAGGCCTGGCCTTTTCCCATAACATATTCTATGGTATTGTCGATGAAGCAAAGTTGCATTTGCTATAGCAATCGATTACATTAAATGCTCTTCATTAACAGGCCAGTTTCATCACCTTAAACGAAATATGATAAATAAATCACACAAATATGATATACTGCTAGTCACAAAAACCTAAATAAAAACGAAAAATAAGTAGTCGATTCTTATAGCAAGTACAATTTTGCTTCATCGATAATCCCAACACAATGTAATATGGGAAAATGCCAGTGACTGTGACCCAAGGACACCAGTGGCAGTAACGTGGTGGTTAACGTGATGAAATTATACGCTTAGCTACCAGGGTCCGAGTCTTTTTGGGGCGTTGATGAGACCTAGGCGAGGTCGAAACTGTAGTCCGGCCTGGACAATAATACCTCTTATGAAGTAAAGCCATGTGAAATCCAATGGAAACGTAAGAACGACTAATATCAGTGGGAAAAATTAATCTACTAGTCCTGCATCACCTTAAACGAAGGTTTATCAGATATTCAATAAAATAGAGCGCTAAAATGACAACAATA